TATACTTAGTCCACATTGCCTAGGCTAAGCCCGCAATGATGTTGATACATTTAGTGAGATTTTATCAACGATAATAATAATGCCCGATAATGATAATGATATGATGCTGATATAATGATAACGATAACGACTACAATTGCGATACGATTAGGATTAGGATTAGGATTAGGATTAGGATTAGGATTAGGATTAGGATTAGGATTAGGGATTGCGATTACGATTACTATTACGTTTACGATTACGATTACGATTACGATTACGATTACGATTACGATTATGATGATTAATTATAGTTATGAATATCATTATATTCTGATTATTCAATCAACAAAACAAAATAGCAAAATAAAAGAAACCTTGATATTAGTGCTCCTTTCCTTGCAATAAGACCCGAATCTCCACTTTTCGTCGTCTCCCTTTGATTCAATGCTTTGCTCAATAACACTACTGTATTTCTTCTCAACTTCGCGAAGGCACTCCAGCCATTCCTTGTCATTATTCAATTTACTCGATCCTTGTGCATCTAACATTATAGTGTGTTCTTTAACACTTTTTATCRACATTTCAATCCTTGGAACCGCCTGCTTGATTCCTTCCTTTGTACCAGACACAACAACTTTACCATCGCTTTCACCACTTTTTGTCAAAACTTTAACTGAGTGTTTCTTCAGAGAGTCTTCAACATTCTTCATGGACTGTAATCTAAATTTAAAAAGAAACCTAACGCGACCAGTTTCAGCTTCAATAACTCGATTCGAGATGATATTGTTGTCGAAAAACTCTTCAACTCTTTCTTTAGCGATCTCAACCTCTTGCTTGATACCAGCTATACACACTGTGCTTGATGCTGGTTCTTCTGTAACTTGTAACAGCATCGACTGTTGGATGGAATGCTTAAGTTCTTTCCATTTATCCGAGCCAATCAATTGTTTTTGATCTGTATCAAGAGGAATGCTTTTTTCTGCTAAAGTATTCTTGAGAAAGTCCACTGCCTTGTTCATATGATCCCGATCCATAGCTATGATCATAAGTTGCGTATCAGACGTGCTGTCAAAACTAATGATTGCTTCAATTTTGTTATTCTTGAAACTTGTGAGAATAAATGCCTTTCCTCTTTCAGAGCCAAGAACACCAATCACAGAATTGGAAAATTTCATCTCACTTTCTTTAACTCTGGAGAGCGTTTCCCAGACAAAGGCAGTGCATTCATTCACGACTTCTTCAAGCCCTCGTAGTTGAATTACTTGATCATTGGAATCACTTATCACTGACACTTCAAGGCCTTCGTGTCTTGTCGTGAGACCATCAACAAATCCACTAAAACTTATCAAAGCCATTTGAACGTCAGAGACTTTGATCTTTTCTGTAATTTTGCTTTTTTCAATCATTATTTGCTCCTCAACTTGAGAGACTAAATCTTGCAACTGCTTCGCCAGATCACTTACATCGGTTTTCTTTCCTCTCAATATYATTGAATTTTCCTTCTCAGCTTTGAAGTTAAATACATGTTGTATACTTATTTGTCTTTCATATACAACGCACTTTTCTTTTGCCGCAGCCGCCATCTTCTCCCAAATTTSTTGCGATATAGTTATCTTTTCTGTCACCATCTGGTTAATGAAGGCTACGACAGCTTCACAGGAATTCTCCCATGTCTTCTCGTCCATCTTGGTCTCAACACAACAAAGAACAATCTCCCCTGAGCCTTCCTGCCATTTGTACATTACTTGGTGTTCCTGGAGAAGCTGGTCAAATTCTCGAGAAAAAAATTCTTTAATAAGCAGMAAGTTATTTGGATTTACTTTGATAACTTTATCTGTCTTTCCGCCACTAGGATTTGTTTGGGATATTTCGCCAAGGAACGCGTAGTAGTGATTGATTGTCAGATGTGCACCGTCTATCACATGATCTTGCTTAATTACAACATCAACAACTGAAACAGATAAATACTTTGCTTTATTGCTGCTATATTGACTTAATATGCCAGATGACTTACTTCACTAAGTCAGTTGCTTTCCCAGAAATTTCTTAGTTCGACGCGAAAAAGAACGATTCTGTATTAGATTTACAGACTTCTGTTGGATGAGCATGGCAAAACAGATTATCAATATCTAAATATCTAAATATATATTTTATTTTTTTCCCTTTAACTTTCTCAGAGCAGTTTTGCTCCCTCTTGGCCCTTCCAYTTTGAAAGCAAGGTCGACCATTAAAGGGAAATCCTGACACAAAACTTCGTTTCTTTAAGTTTGAACTAACCTGACGGATCATCAAATAATACCACAGCCCGGCCTGCCTCTTCGTCATATTCCAGCTTCCTCACATCTCCACCTCCATTCCTGCTGTTTTCAAAGTAGTACAAAATGGCATCTTTGGTTGTCTTCGGAGAGAGACTAGTAACCTCAATGCAGTCACACATGTTGACTTGTTCCATAATAAGACTTTTTCCATCTAGAGATTTCTTACTGCACATCTTGATTAACTTCTCAAAGTCTGCAGGTAATTCAAAAAGCATGATTGATGACAAATTATGTGAAACAAGGGAGCGCTAAAGAAGTCATTTATCGCTGAGTTGTCGCTCAAAAGGAAATTTAAAAAAAATCTGAGTCCAGTTTGGTATACGTATAGGAATTGAACCTATGGAAGGAGCGAGGAGAGAAATGTATTCCTAATTTCATTAGTCGTCATATGATTACCAATACAAATTTTATTTTTTAATGAAGGCTTTCGCGTTTCTGCACGTATAAATATGGTCACATTTTGTCTAAATCTCGACGCATAAAGTCTAATCTCGAATTCAACAAGTAATCAATTGATCAATGATGCCGCCTCTCTATTTTCTGAGTTTCCTATATCCGCCTCTGCGCCCAATCACAACTGACGTTTTTTATGGGGCTGAAATATGGATAGAAAATGTGAGCAGCTAAATTGTTGGGATAGTGAATGTTTAAAGATCTGCAATTACCTGGAGGTTCCTTAAACATGACCATAGCATTACAAGTGTCCCCAAAGAGCACGTTCTCTACTTCCTCTCCGCTTACCACCTCCATATACATCACCAACCCGTCCTTTGTCGTGTTCTCGCTCATCCCCTTCACATGTACACTTCTTTCGTCTATTGGAAGACTCTTTGGAGCTGTTATCAGAGTTGCGGTCAGCTTACAGCCATCGAGAACTAATTTATCTTTCTGTGCAACTCGTTCAGCAACTAAAGAAGTAGTGAGGTCAATAATTCATTAGATACTAAATAAAAGCGATGGAGCTGTTATCAGCTGTTATCAGCTTCTCCAGGAGTGACACATGTATGTATATATAAGCTAAAAATGCAAATCAATTAAAAACTTTGTCGGAACCAAATGAGATAGAGCAATTGTTAAGAATTTTTCTTAACCCAACCAGAAACGTTATTGTTATACGTTATTGGGAAGCATGGATGGCGTAGCGGTAAGAGCGCTTGCCTCTCACCAATGCGACCCGGGTTCAAGTCCCGACGAGCTCGGTGTTGTATGTGAGTAGAGTYGTTCGTTGGTTCTCTCCTGTGCTTGAAGGGTTTGCCGGGTTCTCCGGCTTTCCTCCCTCCGGTTGTGGTTCTTGGAATTCCTATCGCCCATTTTCTAATTAGCCTTCGGCTACAGCAGCGCAACCTTTTTATCATTAGTTTCTAAGCAAAAAACTTGCAATCAAAAAATCATAGAATGAGTCGTAAAGGTTTTTGTAGGTTGGATTCATATTATGAAACTCAAATTGACTCATCAACCTTTAAAAATAATTTTATATTTTCCTTAGCTTTCGACCGACACGGTCATCCTCAGAGGAACTAAAATACGTTACAATATGTACAACAATATGTTACAATATGTACAACGTTTGATCGCGTAGGTTTTGTTAATATCGTAACGTATTTTAGTTCCTCTGAGGATGACCGTGTCGGTCGAAAGCTAAGGAAAATATGAAATTATTTTTAAAGGTTGATGAGTCAATTTGAGTTTCATAAATCATAGAATGTTTAAAATTTTTGCGTCCCAAGATAATAGCTTTCACGTATTTGAAGCGTCAACCAAATCTTTGGATAAACATTAAGCATTAAATCATAGTCCTGAAAACTGACATCAATTTGACCCGGAAAGCAGGTTATGCGGATCAGTGCCATAGGAAACATTTCACCTCAACCGTTACACTTAATTTATTCATTTTTCGTTAAGAAAAGCAGGTTGAATGCTTCTTCAGTAAATTGCTACACTTTCAAGTGGTTCTCCTTCAAACACTTGCCTTCATTAGTTAGGAAAGTTATGTCGGCGACTCCTTCTTCTAATTTTAAATGGGAGTCTTTTATCTCTCCTCCACCAGACCTTCGAGTGTTAAGGAAAAAGTTCAGCAATGCATCCTCTGTGGTTTCTCTACAGATTCCCGTTACTCTGACAAAACAGTCTGGTTCTTCCTCAGCGCCCTCGGAATCCTCCAATTCGYTTTCCATTTTTTTAGTAGCGCTAATATAATGCAAATATCTGAAAAATAAATGAACGCAGATCAACATATATTCCATAGACTTCAAACGAAATGACCTCACGTTGGAAACTCAAATCAGACAAACAAAAAGAAGAAGAAGAAGAAGAAGAAGAAGAAGAAGAAGGAGGAGGAGGAGGAGACTGAAGAAGAAGAAAAAAACAGTTTGAGATTTTCAGGAAAAAGCATGCCTCTCAAAAGCCGCTGAAAAATCTACGATATTTTAAGAACCAATCATGTACCCTGAGCCTTTATTTCTTACTGCGCATGCTCGACGAAAAAGATAGGCTCTAGAAAACTTCAATATTTTCGACCTCGTCGTTTGTTCTCAAGAAAATAAAGTTTGACACCGGAAATAGAAATTACTTTCGATACAAAATGGTGATTCCGGGAAAACAAAAAAAACAAAAACAAAAACAAAAACAAAAACAAAAACAAAAACAAAAAAACAAACAAAGAAACAAACAAGCAAACAAACAAAAAACAAACAAAC